TTAAAAAAAATTATTTTTTTTATTTTATATGTATGAGTGTATTGCCTGCATGTATGTAAGTGCACCGGTGTTGTGCAAATGCCCACTGTGATAGTTTGAATGAGAATCTCCTCCATAGGCTCCAAGTATTTGGACATTTTGTCCCCAGTTGATGGTGCTGTTTTGGGAGGTCATAGAAGGTGTAGCTATGCCAGAGGAAGCAAGTCATTGGGGGTGGGCTTAGAGAGTTCTTAAGCCTTTCCAGATCTCCAGTCCATCTCTTGCTTCCTATGGCTGCTTGAAGATGTGAGAGCTTAGCTTCTGCTCCTCTTCCAACCACCTCTGCCACTATGCCTCCCCGCCATGATGGACTCTTGCCCCTTTGGAACCGTAAGCGCAAATAAGCTCTTCCTTCTATAAGTTGTTTTGGTCAGTGTTTCTATCACAGCAACAGAAATGTAACTAATATACCCATGAGGGTCAGAAAAGGGTATCGGATCCCCTGGAACTGGAGTTACAAATGGTTATTAGCTGCTGTGTGGGTGCTAAGAACTGAACCTGTGTCCCCTGCAAGAGCAGTCAGTGCTCTTAACTGCTGGGACATTTCTCTAGCTCCTCTACTCCCTAACTTTAAAGATGAGGAAAGATGCCTGCAAAGTCTTGCTCAAAACCCTACAACTTCTAAAAGTTGGTACTTGCTTTGGAATGAATTGTGTTTGCCAAAAGATATATCGAAATCCTAATCCCTGGTACCTCTGAATATGATCTTATTTGGAAATAAAGTCTCCGTATATGGAATCAAATTAAGATAATGTTACCCTAGACTAGGGCAGGCACTAATCCAATGTGACTGGTGTCCTTACAGAAGAAAATGTAGACACTGAGGGACATACAGGGGGAATGGTCACATGGTAGTGCATTGGAAAGATGCATCTGTAAGTCAAGGAATGCCAAAGATTGCCATCAAGCACCAGAAACTAGAAGAGCAAGTGAGGATTCTGCCTATCAGGTTTCTAAAGGAGGATGGCCCTGCCAACACCTTGATCTGGGGGGTTTCCAGCCTCTAGAACTCCTTGTGGTGTTTTATCTTTTGTGCATATTTTTTTCTTTACTCATACCTTATGCGATGGTTAATCTACATTGTTAAGTTGGCTGGATTTGGGATCACCGAGGAGACTGTTGGAAGGTGTTTCCAGGGAGGTTTAACAGAAGAGGGGAGACCCACTATGAATGTGGGTGGCACCATCACATGAGATGGGGTCCTGGACTGAATAAAGAGGAAAACAGGAGTTCCAGTATACCCTGCTCCTTGCTTCCTGATGTTCCCAGATGTGAGGCATCCTAGCTGTAAGCTCCTGCTTCCATGAAACCTACTGTGCCTTCCCTGTCATAATGGACTGTACCGTCTTAAACCATGAGCCAAAATAAACCCTTCTTTCCTTAATTTGCTTTCTGTCAGGTATTTCTGTCTGGTCAATGAAACTAGAAAAATAACTATTGCAACTTGTATCTTTTTCCTCTTTAAGTTCTAATACCATAAGCATTTTTTTTTCTTTTGGTCTTTTTAAGACAGGGCCCCAGCTGACCTGAAACTTGCTATGTAGACAAGGCTGGCCTTGAACTCACAGAGATCTGCTTGTCTCTGCCTCTTGAGTGCTGGGATCAAAGGTGTGCACCACCATGCCAAGCACCCATAAGCATTTTTAAAAAATATTTTAGTTATTATTTTTATTTTATGTGTATGACTATATTGACTGCATGTGTGTCAGTGCACCCATGTCACGCAATGCCTGCAGAGGACAGAAGAGTCTGTTGGATTCCCTGGAACTGAAGTTACGGACAGTTGTTAGCTGCCATGTGGATGCTGGGATTTGAACCCAGGTCTTTTGCAAGAACAACCAGTGTTCTTAACTGCTGAGCTATCTCTTCAGCCCACCCATAAGCATTTTTAACACCTGTATAACCATAATTTAATTAGACATTTGTGAACCTGGAGGGAGAGGCAGGCAGCTTCCGGGGGTGTTTGTTTGACTGGTTGGTTTGATTATTTAGTTATTTGAGACAGAATCTCCCTAAGTAGCCTAGGCTGGTTTCCTCCAACTCAGGGTCCTTCTCCTTCAGCCTCCCAAGTACTGGGATATACCTGTGTCATTATATCTGGCTTCTAGGGGCTTTTTCATACATAAAAAATTGTTGTTGGGCTGGTATGTAGTTCAGTTGGTAGAGTGCTTGCCTAGCATACCCCAGCGCTGTGTAAACTAGGTATGATGGTGCAAATCTGTAAGCTCACTGCTTGGGAAGTAGAGGCAGAAGGATCAAGGAGTTCAAGGCCATCCTTTAATATACAGAGTTTGGGGCTAGGCTGGGCTACATGAGACCCTGTCTTTGTTCTTATTGCTGTTCATAAAGCTTTTTACAGTATCTCTTTTTATTATGTATTTATTATGTAAAATATTACAGTATTTTTTTATGTGTGAGTGTATTGCCCGCATGTAAGGGCACCCATGTCATGCAGTGCCCTCAGAGGACAGAAGAGGTATCGGATCTCCTGGAACTGTTGTTATGAATGGTTGTTAGTTGCCATGTGGGTGCTGGTATTTGAACCGGGGTCTTCTGTAAGAACAGCCAGTGCTCTTAACCACTGAGCCATCTCTCCAGCTCCTTACCGTATTTCTTTGGGATGGAGTCCTACCAATGAAATTTCCCGGCCAACTCTGTTGCTCATGGTCTGAGCCCAGCAGTAATGTTTAACTATGCTTTGCCTTTCCTCACCACTGAGCAGTCCAACCCCCTGCTGCTCCTCTCCCTGGGAGCCAGGTCTGGCAAATGCTCTGTGTTTTGCCTAGAGCTTGGTTCCTTCTTGTCTGAGCAGGATTAGGAGCCAAATCCATCATGCCCCTGCCTGCCTCCAGCTAGGCCCTCCTGGGAATGACTATTCTTCTCTGGCTTCCTGATCAGGCCTGCTCCACTGCTGGGTTGTGAACTCCCCTAAACTACCCAGTGCCTTGACCCTATAACTTCCCCAGTGGACACAAGGGTTACTGCTGCACTTGGGAGAACAGGGGATTTGGAAACGGTGTTGGGAGCAGGGGTGGTCATAGCAGGGTCTTGGGCCAGCTCTCTCACTGGACAGGCAGGAATGAGTGTGGCTTCCATTTGCCTCAGGATAAGGCTGGAAAGAGGTGCTGGTGTTTCTGCCTAGGCCTGTGCTGCTAACTCGCCTCACTTCCTGACACTCTGGATTCCAAACCAGGCTTCCAAGAAGGGTCATCCTTCTCCCCAGTGTTCTGATCCTCTGACTTGGCATGGTAATAGTGGGGAGTCATGTGGGTAACCCCAGGAATAGGGAGAGACTCAGAAGCCCCTCTCTGAGGGGTTTTACCTGGAGGTAACTCTGTTCCTCCACAGGCCCCTACCACAGGCAGTCCAACGCCCGACCCACCTATAGCCTTATAGCTGACTCACAGGCTGCAATGCAGTGGGAGACAGAAGTTGCCCATAGGTTGTCACTCTGGCCTGGATGAACCACTCTATCATTCAAGTGACAAAAACACAAAGCAGGCGTGGAATTCTGGGCAGCTTGAATCCAACCTGACTTTGAATCTGGCATCAGCTTCCTACCCTCCTTGCCTAGCTTTGCACAAGCACACCTTGCCTCTCCACATCAAACACTATCCAACACAATGCAAACATCTTATAAACAGAATATGAACAGGACTTGAGCCTTCAGAGCTGATAGGGTTGATGTGGTCACCAGGTGAGCCAATGAGAAGGACAGTCCCTCATCACCCCCTTCCTAAGGCTGTAAACTCAGGACAACAGAAACATATGCTATGTTATTATAATGACATGAATATTCAGTGTTGGTACCAATGCTAAAGTTCATTTTTTTAGCTACTGGGGATTAAACCCAGGGTTTCCTGCACGTTAGGCAAGTGCTTTGCCACAGAGCTATATCCCCAATCCTAAAATTAATTTTAAAATATTAAAATTTCTCTTGCAGGGGCTTTCATTTGTATTCTACCTTGATCCTAGGCATCCTGGGAGCCCCAGAGTTCCTTTTTGGATTCACACTTATTGTGGGCCCCTTGGGGTGATGGGAAGAGACTGAGGAGAGGTTCAAGTCCCATCTAATGCTCTCTCTGGGCAGGCTACCTCATCTTTCTGCTGCTCAGTCTCCGCACCCATTAACAGTGACAGCAACAGCTACACATGGCAGTCAGCAGACAGGAGAAGGGTTTGGGGGTCAACCTGAGTGGCTCTATAACCTACCACTTTATTCAACCTCTCTGACCTTTGATGAAAGGGGAGTCTGTGCCAATCACTGACTGTAGGAGTGTGGAAAGTACAAGACAGCTAAGTGCTAAAATCAATGATGAGAGAGAGAGAGAGAGAGAGAGAGAGAGAGAGATTCTTGTAAACCACAGAACATATTCATGTTGCTTTAATAAATTACATTTCAATATTTTTTAAATGACACATAATTGTGCACATGTACAGGATACATACAGTGTAACATTTCAACAGAGGAATATAAATGTGCAATGATCTTATTAGGAAACCGGTGAAACCATCACCTCAAACATTTATTATTGTTTCTTTGTGTTGGAAACATTCAAAATCCTCTCACCTAGATGTTATGAAATGTACCCTTCATTGTGGTCAACCATAGATATCCTTCTATGTCTTAGAACGTTAGAAGTTATTCCTTCTTTCCAACGGCACCCTTTAACCATCCTATCCCCACACTTCTAATAAATACAATAAAGTGTGTGTGTGTGTGTGTGTGTGTGTGTGTGTTGAACCCAGGGCCTCGTGCATGCTACCCTTGCCCCTGAGCTACAGCCCCAACCCCAGTAAGTTGTCCTAAGAGTGGCGCGGCGCCGGACCGGACCGAACCACCCTAACCCGGCGGGATTTTATTTTGGCGGCCGCCGCCAGGCGGAACTCCCCGCCGCCTACACGCAGTGGTCCAGCTCACATCCTCCTCGCCGATCCCAGCGAGGCCCGGGCGTACTCACCCTCTTCACGAGGAAGCCCTCCTTGAGCACGCCGTCCTCCATGTCGCCAGCCTAGGTGCGCTGTCCCCGCGGCCCGCGCTGCGCCGCCGGCGCCCAGGAAGCCGCTCCGCCCGGCGACGCCCCCTGGCGCGGGTCCAGAGCCCGAGCCCGGGCCCCGCGGGCAGGAAGTCAAGCCGGGTCGGGACTGCGCCCGGGACCTTCCCAGCGGAGTGCAGACTGCCACCCGGGATTGCCCGGCCTGCCCTAAGCGGCCCTGGACCGCTGTCCAAGGTTGAGGGGTATCCCAGGGCTCAAAGGAAACGGAGCGTGTGGATAGGGTGAAACTGGGCTGGGAGGGTAGGAAAGTCTAAGGCGACTGGCACAGTCTATAGAGCCTGGACGCACCCTTACCCCCAAACCTCCTCTACCGCAACTTGAAAAAAATCCGAGAGCCAAAGAGTGCAGCAATTAGTGGTGAATTTGGAAGGGTGTGCAAAAGAACTCAGTATCTATGTAATATTTTAATGCAATATTTTAAAATAAAAATGAACTGATAATGAATAAAATCTCAAGATAAAATCAGCACAGTGTCCTACTCTGTCATACTGGCATCTGGAACAACAGGAAACATCAGTGATGGTGTTCTCTGCAACGCTGATGGTATTCCTTATTTGCTCTCCGGTGTGAAGGGCCCTGTCCAGTTCTGCATGTGGCAGAAGTAAGGCACTGGGATACCTGAAAGGATTGAGAACATCTAAACAACAAGAAGGGGCCTTCGGACTATGAACAGATGGGGATGTCCTTTCAAACCAGCAGCAAGCCCACCCCAGGGCCCCTATGCTGGGCTCTGTCCCACTACTGCTCCTGTAGGTCTGTAACACACACATACCTTCGCCCTTAACCCCAGGAGACCTGGCATGGTCCACAGTACAGTATTGTGCTACCAGGAAAAAGCCTCCTGGCTTTTGAACCACCCAGCAAACCCAGAAACAACAGGGTTTTCATTCTCTCTCCAATAGTAGCTGCTAAGTTTCATTTGAGGCACAGTAACTCCATGAGATGACAATCTTATCTCAGTTTTCCAGCCAAGGAAACTGAAACTTGAAGCAATTAAATACCACCCAAGGCCACACAGTCTCAGGGCTTTGCAAGTGCACTTGATTCTGAAACCTGGTGAGACGCAAACCCAGAATAGGAGAGGCTGGGCAGGTCTGATCCCCTCTGCCAACTCCTTCTTGGGAGACTCAACAGGGAGTGGCCTTTTCTTTGGAAGACAGGCTTCTCAGTGAGTTCCCAGAAAAGAGAAGGCTGGCCCTTTTTTCTAGTGCCATTTCTCTCCAGAACAGCTAAGGCCTCTAGTGCCTAGAACCAGCTTCGTCTGAGGGAAGCCCCTGGGCCGGCCCACCCTGATTCACTGGACCTTCAGCGTGAGTCACCTCCCTTGCCTTCCCCAGTCTGTGGTGACTGAGGCACAAACCTACCAGGGAACCACGATGACATAAGCCCAGCTCAACCATAGGGAGGAGGATGGAGGGAGACAGAGTAAAGCAGACAGCACGGAACTTAGACTTGGGGAGAAGACAAGGAAGGGACAGAAGCTCCAGACCCAGGAGCTTGTCTTGGTCTTCCAGGTAGACACCTGGAGATTGACACAGAAGGGTGTCTGAGCCACTCAGCCCTCCTCCCCTTTTTGTTAGGAAGGGCTAGGTAATGCTTACCATATATTCATGCGTAGAGAAAGCTATTAGGTTAGCGTTTGTGTGAAAGTGATTCATAATCTGATGTGAAATTCTACCATTAGAGTCATTCCTTTGGCTTTAGATAAGAATCCTTTGTTTACATACAATACAGCCTTATTCATAATGAACTCTGGCTCAGTGAGTTTGTCAGAATGATCATCTGCCTCCTAAAGATCATTTAATCCAGATACTAGGATTTTATAAATGAGAGCCCCCTCCCCCAATAAAAACTTGTCTAAGGTCTTTATCCAGTTAGTGGCAAAGCTGAAACCAAAATAGAAGTTAACAGCAGTGCATTGCAAGGCTAGGTCCTGCCAAATGCAGGAGCACTTCCCTCAGATGTGGCCAGCATCAGCATGGTGGCTGTACACACCTGGAGGAGGTTTGACTACAGAGCTAGAAAGGACTTCGTTTTGTTCCTATAGCCTTCATATTTGTCCCTATAGCCCAAAAGTGGTGCATGCCTGTGATCCTGGCACTCTGGGAGTAGAAGCATGAAGATAGTGAGTTAGAGGCCAGCCTGATCTATGTGGTAAGCCCAAGCTAATCTGGGCTAAATACTGAAATCTTGTCTCTAAAATTTTTTTCTTCTTTTTTCTGACCATAAAAATTAATTTGTGCTTTTCACAAAATATCTATCACCCAGACACATGCCCAATATTTTTATATGCACATATTTTTTTGCTAAATGTTATTTTTAACATTTGAACCCTAACTTTAAAAAATATTTTATTTATATTTTTATTTTATGTGTATGAGTGTTTTGCCTGTATGTATGTAAGTACACCATGTGCATGCAATGTCTACAGAGACCAGAAAAGGGTGTCAGATTCCCTTGAAACTGAGTTACACATGTTTGTTGGCTGCCATGTGGGTTCTGGGAACCAAACCCAGGTCCTCTGGAAGAACAGCAAGTGTTTTTAACTGCTGAGACACCTCTCCAGCCCCAAACCCTACTTTTTTAATTTATAATAGTTAACAGATCTCTAAAATGATTCAAAAACATGATTTTAAACTGCCTAAAATATTATCATGACTGTGTCATAATGTATTTAATCATTTCCATTTTGGTTGATTTACCTGTCTTCTGTTTGGCTTTTTATTTGTTTGTTACAGTCTTTTAAGACAGGGTCTCACTATGTACCCAGGCTGGTCTTGAATTTTCTGTTCTCCTGCTTCTGCCTCCCAGGTGCTAGAACTGTAGACATGTAACTACTATGCTTGGTGAGTTCTCAATATTCATCCAACCTGCTTTTCCAGGCACATATTCCATGATGTCCCCATCAGCAGTTGTGTGCCATGACAGCTTCACAGTGTCCACACCAGCATCAAGTATGGTATTTTCGGAAAACTGCCGATCCTCTTAGAACCAGCAGGAACCATCCCCAGTGGCACAGGCTGTGTCGTCCTCAGAATGAAGCCCTGCTTGCAGGGACAAAGCAAGAGCAGCTCCCCCCTGGGAGAAACTTGAAAGATGCCTGGAGAAGCTGAAAAAGGGACAGAAGTCCCAGACTAAGTTACCGTCCACAGGAAAAGAGGGCATATGGGGTCTTGGATATTTAGGAAGCAGCCTGACAGCACTTAGAAGCCTGAGCTTGGTGTGTAGCTCAGGTCCCGGGTTCCATTCCCAGCACTGTTATAATAATAATAATAATAATAATAATAATAATAATAATAATAATAATAATAAAAGAAAAGGGGGAAAATTGAACAGAGGTAAAAACAGGCAGGCAATGGGGAACAAAAAAAAGAAAGAAAATTTGTCTACTTCATGGCTTTACTCAAGGAATCCATTAAATGTTGCCTGTTACAGCAGAAATACATGCAGCTAGTCCTCAGTTTACAATGGTTCTACCTACTCAACTCTATAATGGTTCAAAGCAATTCAACATAGAAACTTGTTTTTAGATTTTGAATTATCTTTTCCCAGGCTAATGATGTAATCTGCTCTTTTTTAGTTTGTTTTTGTTTGAAGCGAGGTTTCACTATGTAATTCAGGCTGGCCTCAAACTCGCTATGTAGCCCAGGCTGGCTCAACCTCTCAAGTACTGGTATAGAGCTGTGTGCTACCACACCCCTCTACAATATCCTCTCCACGTGAGCAGTGTGGCGATCCACAGTTCTTAGTCATCCGTGGTATGGGGTTGGGGGTTGCTAAGCTATTATGATGTTCCATAGTGTCAAATGTATTTTCAACCTAGAGTATTTTCAATTTATAATGGGTTTATGGAGACACAACCCAGTTGTAAACCTGGGAACGCCTGAATTCTTTAATCCACCATCATTTCATTCATTCATTAACAGAGCAGGAATATGTCAGAAGTACAAAGCACAAACAGCCATGAACAATACCCAGACCTTGCCCTTGTCACTCACCAGTATAAACACCATGATTGTGACTCAGTGAAATCTCATTACCACAGCCCTGTCCCCAGCCCAGCTGTCACCTTCCACCTTGATGCCTCAGAGACATGCTAGAACCCCTACCTTGGAATGTCTCCCTGAACACTAAGTCCCTGAAACCCACCCTCCTGTTCTATGGATAAAGCTGCAACATCTTGAAAAGATTGCTCCTCTCTACAGATGCTCATCAAACCTTTGGCAAGGACCAGAGGTCAGATTCCCTGCCTTCTACCAATGCCATTAACCCTGCCTACCCCCAGAACTCAGGTTTGGGGGAGTCATTCCTGAGGGAAGACAGCAGGGCAGGTGGAGCAGAATGCTGATGACTCAGCCCTGTGAGCAGGCAGGACCCAACCTGTTAGAGAAAGATAAGGGCCCCTCCTGGCCTCCCATACCCCTTTCCCTCCCTTTTCTTCCTTCACTCCCTTCTCTAACGTCCTGGAAATTAGACTTTCCTTTTGCTTTAGTTTGTATGGGTTAAAAGGGGGAAGGACCAGAACCTTGGCCTGGGAATGTCTGAGGAACTGTAGGGCAGGAAAGGTCGGCTATGGTGTCGGGTGGCCACCACTGTGTAAACCTCTGGTGACATCTGCTCTCCAGGCCTCAGAAGCCTGGACCTGGCAGGTCCCAGATCTCTGGCAGGACTCTTACCAGGCCTGCCGGGCCCATCACTTAGAACAAGTTGTTTATTGCACAAAAGGGACTCACTTTACAGGGTAAAGGGCCAAGTGCAGTCCATAGGCATGCCTCCCACATGGACGCCTCCTCCCAAGGAAGGGTGGCCTCCTCTTCACCTACAGGCTGTGCCTGTTTGCCAAGCCACATCCCAGCAGGACTATAGTGGGCAGGAGTGGGTTTTTTTATCTTCTTCATGGAAAGGTAGTAGGGGTTACAACTGTCCCAGAAAGAGATTTTCATTCCTAGTTTGGGGAAACCTCATTCAAACCTTATTCTGAGAAAATCTCTTGTAACCTAGATGGGAACTATTCAGAAAAAGAAAAATCCAGGAGATCCTGAGGATGAGCTGAATCCATCCAGGGAACCTGAAAAAT